GTATCCTTTGTAAAAATGGTGTTTGATGATGTGYATTCTTGAAAGTGTAAAAGGCATTGCGGTTTTGCTGTGTCTTTATTTGATCTACATGAAAGATTATTTACAACATGTTATTTTTCAGTAGGTCTAAAAAGCGGTCTACATCAAAATCTTGGAATGAAATTTACTTACGATGACATTATGTGAATTGGATTAAAAATGAAATAGATAAGATCCAATAAAAAWTTTTTTAGATAAAATCTACAAAAGTAGGACGAGAGGAATTTATCTAACTATGGTATTGAAATTATTAWTTGATATTGTTTGGATGGTTTTCAATTGCAGCTAAATCTTGTGTTCGTCACATGACTAAAGAGTACGTTTTTTGATTGGTTAAGATCAAACGTGAGAATGCTGTTCACGTGATCTAGTTACTCAGTCCTTATTGGTTAATAAACTAAATCAACATTTAGGATCCTTTGCTGCAGGTGAGATGGGTTCCCCATTGGAGTTGGCATTTATGTACTTCGCGTCTATGTTGTCCAAGTCAATCAAAACCTGAAAAAATTATCCTTAGTGTTAATGACTTGCGTTTAATCTTGCGTTCAAATCTTGAAGAAAGTTTCTAGAATATGGATCTTATACAACCAGTATAGCCCTTCTAAATAGGAGGTGCGATGAAGTAGGACTTGGTGAACGCTACTGCAAGGCGTTTCCATTACATTCTGTGACAAGGGCACGTGGCCTTTGTATTTTCAAACAATGTCATGRAAACACTTTGATTGACGTCAAATCCTATTTCTTTGCGACAAGAAATTGTATGATTTTGCGCGTTTGATTGCTAAGCACTAAGCACTGTAATATAAACAGTCATCAACGAGGGCTTAAAAMTTCAGCGGTATATTTCTTGTGTTAATGCGCAGTGACATCATGTGAAMCTTGATAAGCTGGTATGGTAGGTTATCGTACGTATATTAGTAATGGAGTTTTTTCGTACCTTYTCTGCCGTGAGCATGCGATTAAGAGTTCTGCAAAGCATCGAGAAGTTGGGTCTCTCCGAAGGTTCCTTCTGCCAGCACTGCCAGATGACTGCGTATCTGAAAAATACAATTAACATGCAGTACATCTTTAAAGACGAGGCGAGAAAATTACTAACTGAAATAGAAATTGAGTARAATATGTAAGACTGACGGAGAAACGTGGGCCGTACCGCAAGGGTACGATTGGTTGTGGTATACAACACGGCCAGGGTACGCAATCACTAGCGCAAGTTAAGCAAATCAGCGCGCAAAATTATAGTCTGCTTTATAAACCAGATTGCTAGTATYAAGCAGACCTTATGTAGGTGTGATGACACGTTACGGTGAAAGTAAAGGATATACAGACATCTACTGCGCCAATGAAAATAAGAGCACGCAAYATTACTGATCACCCAAAAGATATCAGCGCGCAAAATGTTATTTGTAAAGGTATGGTAACACACGGCACGGTGACGGTAAAGGATATGAAGACGTATACTGAGCCAATCAGAGCACGCGATATCACTGAACATTCAATGATAATTTAAAGAAAGAATTATACTTACAGTTCTTCCTTACAGTACGGCGGACGAGGCATTCGGTATCCCAAGTGTAGATTACTTATGAGTTGTTCTCTTGTGAAACCAGGGTAAGGTTTGGCACCTGAACAAGTATAAACATATAATCGCATAAGTCAGTGGCGTTTGTTTGATGTGTTGTTCTCTCCCTTGCCACGAGGATTTTTCTCCAGGTTCTCTGGTTTTCCTCCCTCCATAAAAATCCACATATGAGTTGAGTTTGTTTGATGTGTTGTTCTCTCCCTTGCCACGAGGGTTTTTCTCCAAGTTCTCTGGTTTCCCTCCCTCCATAAAAATCCACATGTGAGTTGAGTTTGTTTGATGTGTTGTTCTCTCCCTTGCCACGAGGGTTTTTCTCCAGGTTATCTGATTTTCCTCCCTCCATAAAAATCCACATGTGAGTTAAGTTTGTTTTATGTGTTGTTCTCTCCCTTGCCACGAGGGTTTTTCTCCAGGTTATCTGATTTTCCTCCCTCCATAAAAATCCACATGTGAGTTAAGTTTGTTTGATGTGTTGTTCTCTCCCTTGCCACGAGGGTTTTTCTCTAGGTTCTCTGGTTTTCCTCCCTCCATAAAAATCCACATGTGAGTTAAGTTTGTTTGATGTGTTGTTCTCTCCCTTGCCACAAGGGTTTTTCTCCAGGTTCTCTGGTTTTCCTCCCTCCATACAATCAACATGTGGGTGTGTGTGTTGTAACTAGTGAAAATAGCGGTAGTGTTCATTGAGCGAACCTCAAGGAAGGGCCCCGCGCAGGGAGTGATGGTAAAAGATAAGTATTTTAACCATTCACAAYGGAACATTTGGACAACTTTGTTTTGAAATTGTTTGTTAAAGAACTACTCACCGAGTGTGATGATTTCCCACATCAGAACACCAAATGACCAACTGGAAAAGAAACATTTACATTTTAACTCTCTTGGACATCGTTGGACTGGATTACTCTTTCTTCCGCATTCTGCGCATTTGTTCTCTCCGCCTCAAAGGGAAGTTAGTCTCTTGCCTTTCCATACAAATATTCCCCACCCCTCCCCACACAGTTTCTCCCKTKGCACCCTTTTACGTCTCAGAACGTGTTACACTYGTATTTAATTTAATGTAACAAGAGGAACAAAGATCTCTTATTCACTTACACGTCACTTTCTGTWGTCGTGATGCCGTGAAAGATGGATTCAATGGCCATCCATCGCAGGGGGAGCTCACCCTGTAAATAAAACCAAACAACCCATCAATAAACRTAGGGCATTAACAACAAGATGAAGTCTAAGCAAAGATCTCCCTACCTCTGTGGTTTTCAGATATTGGTTGTCTTCGTAGATATCTCTGGCCAAACCGAAATCWGCAATCTTACAGATGTTCCCCGTGTCTACAAGAACGTTGCGTGTTGCCAAGTCACGGTGAACAAGCTAAAAACAACAAGACGCGTAAGAACTCTACACACAAAGYAACAGCATTGAGATCGATGTTGTATCACGCTGTGAAACACGGTACGAAAATGACGACATCCATTTAACCAATCACAGAGCACCAGATTACTCTTCATGCAATTAGAATAATTGCACACGGTACCGTCAAGGTCACGGTACGGAAATGAAAATATTCTTAGAGCCAATCACAGCACGTCAGATCACTGGTCATACAATCAGAGGTCGAGTGCAGAGGGAAAGGAGACCAGAGAAGCATTGGTCATACCTTCAAGCATTGGTCATACCTTCAAGCTTGCCAGATAACTCATTCCACGTGCTACCTGCCACATGAATGACAACAAGTCTCGAGATGTCAGGCTTACACTTCCTCCTGCCAAGTTGGAATACACTCGATTACCTCGGCTCTTTCTGAGTAAATCCTGTAGACTGCCTAGAGCACAGTACTCTACTATAATGTACGGGTTATCTGTGAATAGAAATCCTAGTGTTAATATATGYACGTGGGATAATAGATTGTCGAAGCTAGAATTTGACATCAAGAATCACGAAGTTGATGGCCACTTTTGAAAAACGTTTCGTTTTCACATGCTCTCAGTCCAACCCCGTTGAGCTGCGCCACTGCTGATAAATAGCGATAACATTAATTTTTTTCTATTTTCATATGGAAAGTATTATTCTTTTCTCAATCTCGTTTACCATTATTCTATTCCTTTTTCTCTTCTCTTTCCATCCCTTTCCTCTCATCCCTCTCTTTATATTATTCCTTTTTTCCATGACAATTCAGCTCTACTCGGCATTAATTTTATTCTCTACTCTCGATTCAATCGTTCATTATCTTCTTGGTTAACCAACCCAACTCTCTACTTTTCTTCCTATCCATCCATTATTCTTGTCCCATTTCATCTCTTTCCCATTTCTTCATTTTCCCCATCCCATACCACCTTCACGTCATCTATATATAGCACCATTTATTATTTTCATTACGCGGATATTACTCACCCCCTTTTGTGCAGCTTCCAATCAAACAAACTATATTAGGATGAGGCTTCATGCTCTTCATCAGATCCAGTTCTGCTAGAAATTCTTTCTTGTGCAGAGCATCAGCATTTGCTATTTTAAGAAAACAATTGAATCAACATCACATTTCATTTTAGACTTTCTCTCTTTTGAGAATAATTTGTACACTTTATGTTCTTTTGGAAAATAATATTATTCGATTTGTAATAAGACTAGTCACGCCTCATTTAGGAACAGTTTTAAAATCATAAACACAACGATACCTTGAATTTAAAACAAGTACGACCTCAATTATGTTAAAAAAATGRATAGTTTTGTAATATTTACTACTTGATTTCTTTTTTCTTTTTGTGTGCGTGTAAGTTGTTTTGTAACGCTTTGTCATTTCTGTATGTGAAATAAAAATGTGAAAAAAAAAAAAAACCCGATAAATAWTATGTTAAAAATATAAAAATATAAATAAAAATGTGAAAAAAAACCAATAAATAATAATATTAAAAATAATCCTTGAAATAAGGACTTCGCACGACTCTGCATCTATTTTTCACATCGCTGTCTCTTTACCCAAAAATTCAATATTAAAGATTTCACATTTTGAACTAAAGAAAATAAAAGAAGCATTTAAACGAACACCATCTTTTTGCTCACCTTTTAACATTTTAACAGCTACAGTTTTATTTCCACTCTCTGTCYTCATAAATGCTTTTACAACTGTACCAAAATGCCCTGTTCCTAGTTCTTTATCCATCGTCAAGCATCTCTTAGGGACCTCCCAGTCAGCAGGCTTACCTACTGTCTGGTAGTTGTTCTCCTCGGCTGATGGCTGTCTGTCTAATGCCTCGGCTCCATCTGTGGTCACAGGGACGTAGGAGTAAGCCAGACCTGTGTTGTCGAGAAGTTCTTCTTCTTCCTTCGGGAAATAGATCAAAATATCATTCTTTACTAAATTGTGAATGCATTAATTTATCTATACCCATTCACTTGTCCATTCGTTCATTCATTCTCTCATCCATTTATTCACCTACTTATTCATCCATCCATCCATCCTTTCTTCCTTCAACCCAATCTTTCTATCCATACATCCATCCATCCTTCCACTCACTCACTCACCCACCCACCCATTCATCCTTCCTTCTTTTATTCATTCTTACGTTAGATCTCGTGTACAAGACAGACGACGGTGAAGGTCTTGCGCGATTTCTTTTGTTACTCTTTRACACTCTTTTCCTCCATAACACAAGCATTATAAGCAGCAAGACAATGACAAGTAATATAGCTCCGACTGAGCTGCCTATCACTAGGGCTTCTCCCCCAGATCTACTCTTCTCCTGCCTGGTTGGGTTCTTGGCCATTGGTACCGTTACATTTTCTTTTCCAGGAAGAGATTTGCCTAGGGAAATGTTAGAGTAGGTTTTAAAAGGTGGTATGTTTCGTCACCGTGCCGTGCTATGTTATGCAATTTGCTTTGTAATTGGATGAAAAGTAAAACCTGATTTTAAGGCGAATGATTGGCAGTTATTTTAAGCACGAGTATCAAAATGTTTTGAACCTTGCGCTTTCGCTCCTGCTCGCGTCGTAGCGAAAACGAAGATAAATATCGCACATGATCTGCTTTTAAGTATTCGAGACTTGGATTGTTCGAACCAATGGTTGCATTTTGAACGTCCTCTAATACTGAAATAGAATATTGGATTGCTTGAAATCTATATAAGTGCATGATAGATTCGCGTACTCCAATCCAAATCGCACTTTAATGACCACATGCATGGCCATTAGTACGAAGGCGCACAATCTAAGTCACAATCCATTCCGTCCATTAAATATTGAAACAATCAAAACAAAAAACGAAAAAAAAMCCCGGTTATAACCAATGAAACGGTCATCACAACCAAATTGTTATTGGTTGATAAAATAACCAAAATCGATATTGTTTGTTATTACCACATTTATTTTGGTTAAAACAACCTAAATTTGGTTGATAAAATAACCAAAATCATGGTTAAGAGAACCTTCATGCATACCCAATATAAAAAAAACAATGTTTAGAAATAGAATATCGTAGTTTATGCACTTTAGTGCTACCCTCGGTAAATAAAGGATTTAATATCACTAATACTTCAGCTTGCCCGACGCTTAACTAAATGATGCGCCCAATTTGTTAAACCAAACCCCCTCATAAATAGAATGCGTGACATCTATTTCGCGACCTTTATTTTATGCGCACATTGTAWCGTCCCTTTACTTCAAGATTCATCAACTTTTTTTACCTTCAACATAGAACGTTTCACTAGGCTTGCTTGATCCATAACTATTCGAAGCGCGCACTTTTAACACCGTTCCATACCATCCTTCATCATGTCTCAGGGTCTTAGATGTGTTGCTTCCAGCCTCTACTTCTKTCCATGAATGACTATCGTTGTGTTTGTACTCAATGGTGTAAGACACAGGAACCCCACCTGGTATTCCTGGCGTCCAGGTAACCAGGATCAGTGTTTGGGATTTTACTTCTGCATAAAGGGAATTTGGTGGCATTGGTCTTCCTGGAATACAACAAGTTTACTAATATATTAAAAAGCATTTCTTTTGAGCTCATGAATATCTTTCTGCATGGATGCCATACTAGATCTAAGTTAGCCATAATTTCCCTGACCTGATCTGTCCAGAGGTTGTTTCAGGGTTCAATCTGTGAGTTAGCCATACCCTGAGTTAGATCAGCCTTGAGGTTGTTTCAGTGTTCGATCTGTGAGTTAGCCATACCCTGACTTAGATCAGCCTTGAGGTTGTTTAGTGTTCGATCTGTGAGATAGCCATGCCCTGACTTAGATCAGCCCAGAGGTTGTTTCAGGGTTTGATCTGTGAGTTAGCCATGCCCTGACTCAGATCAGCCCATAGGTTGTTTCAGGGTTTGATCTGTGAGTTAGCTATGCCCTGACTTAGATCAACCCTGAGGTTGTTTCAGGATTGAATAAAATTGATGGAATCCTAGACTAGTTATCCCTGAAAGCCAAGTATAGTATTAGTAACTAAAATACGTTTTTCATCTCCCCTRTCTCTTTTACTTCATATCACATTCCATACCTTTGATCACCAGGGKGACATTCCCATCTACTTGACCGTATGGATTCAGCCCTCGACACAAGTATGTTCCTGCATCTTTATACTCCATGTAAGATATATTTAGCTTGGCTATGTATGTATTGTTGTGTCCAGGAACTATCTGGCCAAGCTCATCAGTTATCTCTTTACCATCTTTGTACCATTCCACCTCTGGCTGGGGAATTCCAGTGAACATACACGAAAGACTAATAWTGTGATCTCTGATTCCTGTGAATGTTGTTGGGCTGGCCACTAATTCTGGTTTCCTGGGATCGGCTTTGGAAAACAAAACAAGTAGAGGTAGTGAGTGTGGATGGATGGAT